CAGAAATTTCTAAAGGCCTTTAGTCACAGTTCAGCATTCATTGAACATCACCAAATACACACAGGAGAAGGAAGACTTTATTCATGCTGTGAATATGAAATGGTTAAGCACTAACCAAACACTATAAACAATCAACACCAGTGAGAAACTGTGCAAATGTTCTTAGTGTGGAAGGGCCTGCAACTAGATTTCCCCACTGATCCAGCACCAGAGAACTCACAAAGGTGAGAAGCCATATGAGTGTAGTAAACGTGGGAAATCCTTCAGCTTCAGCTCTTCCTTCAACCAGCATGAGCAGACTCACACAGTTGACAAGTCCTATGAGTGCAGTGAGTTATGAGAAGGCCTTTCATCAAGTTATCCACCTCACCCAGCACCTACGAACCCACAATGGAGAGAAGCCCTGTCATTGGGAATTTGGCAAGGCCTTGAGCCATAGCTCATCCCTGACCAAACACCATCAAATCCACACTCAAGAGAAGCCTTATGGAGGCTGTGAGTGGGAGAAAGCCTTCACACAGGAGAAAAGCCTTATGAATGCAGTGACTGGCAAGGCCTTCGGCCACAGCTCAACTCTTAACAGAATATCACAAAATAATGAGGAAAAGCTAGCTTGCTTCCCTCATTCAGCATCAGAGGAGCCACACAGGAGAGAAGCTCTATGAATGTAGTGAGTGTAGAGCCTTCCGCCAGAATTTCTTTCTCATAGAACAGCAGAGGATTCACACCAAAGAAAAACCTTATGGATGCATTGAATGTGGGAAATCCTTCAGCCACAGCTCATCACTCAGCCAGTATGAAAGGACACACACTGGGGAAAAGCCTTATGAGTGTCTGCATTGTGGCAAGGCCTTCAATTAGAGCACCCAACCTTACTCAGTACCAGAGGATCCATAGGAGATAAACCATACAAGTACAAGGACTATGACAAAGCCTTCACACACAGCTCTTCTCTTACCGAACACCAGAGAACTCATACCTACTCCACATGGGGAAGTCTTAAGCCAATCCATCCAGTACTAGACTTACCACTGTCATTCTCATGAGAACACAAATACACATAAAGTTGTCATGTACCACACTCTCCTCAGAGGTATCAGAAATGTCAGTGACCATCAAGCTCCAAGTCATTCCTGGATCTAAACAGTAAGAAAACATGGACACCATCAACATGGGTCCGTCAACCTTGAATGCTCATTAATGTATTCTAGTATCTACAAAGAAGAAATTGAACAAGTACAGGTCTGTGATAATTTTTGTCTTCAGTTGTGTTCGAGGATTTACCATATTTCAAATCAGAGCTGTTCAAAGTGGTGAGAAATTTAAAAGAACTAAATGACATCAGAATTTGTTATTATTGCACATGATACTCTTGAAGTGGTGCTTCAGAATAGGACAAATAGACTCTGATAGTCCCAGAAAATACAACAGCAAAGTGTTTCAAAAATAAATAGCATCTTCATGGAATTTCTATGAATACTTGACTATCTCAGCACACAGCTGATTTTTTTAAATAAATTGATAATGGTATACCCTTATCAGCAGTGCCACAGATTTCAGTTCTATATTCCAAAATATCAGCCTACTAAAAACAGAAATTAAGTTAGATATCTTAATAATTTTACAATAAATTAACTAATGTGCAATAGGATTCAAAAACTTTGTATGAGAAGATTTCAGACATAGAACTACTTACATGGAGCCTCAGATTCTTAGGTGACTTCACTCTGTTCTCAAATTTTACTGCAGAACACATGGGTATTAGAAATGCAGATACTGCTGTTTTACGAAAAAGGGGAAGATTTATTCAGTTGTTAAGCTACCATCTCATGAACAAACTACTTCTTTCCTGAAGTAGTTTTTCAGTAATTTGTTTATCTCAATGTCCAGTAACCTTTTGTTTTTGTTACTATTTTCGCATTTGGTTTTTAGACAGGGTCTCAGGTAGCCTACCCACACTAACCTTGAACTTAGCTATGTGGCTTAGACTGGCCTTGAACTCTTGGTGCCCCTACTTCTGTCTCCTAATTACTGGGAGTATGTCACTACATATGGTAAACTTTTGCTTTTATGCCCCAGCCAGCGGGGTCTTCAACAAGGGCCTAAAGGGAGGGCTGGCGAATGAGAGGGACAAGAGACACAAAGAATGAGAGCAAGACAGGATGTCTGATCAAGCTCCAAAATCTTACTTTCCTCTTAAGGCATATATAGGGAGGGGCAAAGGGAGGTGCAAGCAGAGAGGGGACTTTAATCATGGGTTGTTCAGCTAGCAGGGAACGTTGCTATGTGGATTATCTATCTACTCTTGCCTATCTGCAGCATGGTCACCCGATTTCTGAGAAGAGGTTCTGGTGCTATGGAGACTTAAGCAAGACCTAGATCTAAGAAAAGAGAGAATTCCAAATATGGTGGCATGTTTGTCAAGGGTCACTTAGGCTTATGGCTCCCGTCACTTTTATATTCAACTTGAAAGCTCTTGGGTTTTTTTTTTTTGAGGGGGGGGGTATTATTGTTTGGTTTTTATTGTTGTTATTTTTATTTTTCTGTCTATGTAGCTTTGGAGCTTGTCCTGGAACTCACTCTGTAGACCAGGCTGGCCTCGAACTCACAGAGATCCACCTGCCTAGGTGGTGATGGATTTAAAGGCGTGTGCCACCACTGCCCAGCTGAAAGCTCCTTTCAATATTTAGCTTCAACACTTCATTTTTATATTTAACTTGAAAGTCCACAATATTTCATTGAAACCCAAATCCACAAATAGTTTTCTGAAAACCACAACCTGTAAATGGTGACTTGTCATAATTTGTTAGAAAGAATATTGGCTGGTTTTGGTCCTCAACTATCAATAGTGTTTATATCAGATGATTTTATTTTGTAATAATGGTGCTAGGGTATAAATTTCTAACTATTCTAAAGTTTCTCATCAGTAGTGTTTACATCAGAAGATTTAATTTAGTAATCACAGTGCTAAGATAACAAATTCCTAACTATTCTGAAGTTTCTTTTGGAATGAGACATGTTTTAGTCTTCCAACATTGTTCTTTGGTATGCTTGTGGGATGCCTTTTTGGAATTGTTGTGCGGTGTGGGTGTGTGGACTCACGTGGGTCCATTGAGTGAAGACTCATAGGCACCTTAAATGAATCTAGCCTTTCTTGGCTTCAGGGGGATTCAGCCTCTAAGGACTGAAGCACTTTTGCTTCGCCCAGGGCATTTTTATTTTTCTCCATATTTACGCTTTAGCCAGCTGATTTCCATATGCTCAAACAACCTGAAAGAAGCTTCCAAAAATACAATGCCAAGTACAAATTTCTTGATTGTCAGGTACCACAGTTTTCCGGGTTTGCCAAACAAAAGTTTTGCATAGGCTTTGTATCCTTGGGAAACTCTCAGACAAGATTCACATAGGGCAACAAGAGAATCAAAGGGTATCTGCTAAACAAAACATGGATTAGAGGAAGGTGCTAACACTCTGGAGCCAGGCCAGGTGTAGCCCAGTGGGAATGCTGCACAGAATTGAAAGTTTTCAGTGTAGGAGGTGGTGACACCTGTAATTCCAGCATTAAGGAAGCTGAGACTGGAGTATTGCTACATTTAAGGCCAGCTTGGGTTATATAGTTTTTGAGACCCTGTAAGGGTTGGAAATGTAGCTCAGTGGTGTGCAAGGGTGCTTGCCTAGCATCTACCACAAGGCCCAGGATTTGATCTTCCAAACAGGAAAAAAAAAACAAAAAACTGAGCTATGCATGATACATATGAGTGAAGATGTTGCAGTAAAACCCATTATTCTGTATGCTAGCTTAAAAGTTGTTCTAAATGTAACTACACATACACACACACCTATACACACCTGTCTTAAGGGCTGGCATTTAATAAACATCTATAATCAAAGCACCAACAAAGCAAAGGCAGTAGAATCACAAAATCAAGGCCACCATGAGCTATATATAGCAAGAGACTGCCTCAAAAATATAAAATTTACTTTAAATATCAAAACTAGTTGTTGTATAATCCTAGCACTTGGGAGATCAAGACAGGAGGATCAGAAAATCAGAAATTCAAGGTCATCCTCAGTTACTTTGCAAATTTGAGGCAAGGTTGAGCTGTAAGACCCTATCTCAAAAAAACACCACCACAAAAAAAAGCAAAAATCCAAACCTGCGTAACCACAAGACTCCTCCAAAAGCAGGTGTAGTTACTTTAATGTTTACCCCTTTATGCTCCATGTTACCATTCCAACATACAAACATACAAAACTATCTTTGAAATCTAATGTGCTCGTCACTTGCAGCCCATCAGTTCATTGGAGCTACATTTCAGGTGCTAACCAGACACATGTACCCACCTTACTGGACAAAGCAATTCTGGTCCTTTGTTCAGCTGTTCTGACCTCTGTTAAATGACTCATCCTTTCCCTGCTTCTTCCTTGAGTGGCTACAGATAGATGTGTAGGAAAGACCAGTTTAAGTGGCTTAATGGGCTCTTGGACTTAAATCTACCTGAAAAAAAAAAAATGTATACTGCAGAGGGAAGCACCCAAATAGGCAGTGCAAGGATCCTTACAGGTGATGAGGCCATCTGATCAGTTCTTTTTAAGGCAGCGGTTCTCAACCTCCCTAACACTGCTACCCTTTCATACAGTTCTTCATGTTATAGTGACTCCCAACCATAAAATTATTTTGTTGCTACTTCATAACTAATTTTGCTACTGTTACGAATTGTAATGTAAATATATGTATAGGATATCTGATATGTGACCCCCAAAGAGCTCATAACCCACAGACTGAGAACCACTGCTCTAAGGCTTTGTGAGTGAAGTGATTTGAGTCTTCTCCCAAGTAAAGGGAACAGGCTTTTCTCCACATGTTCCAAGAATCCCATATAAAGAAAGCTACAGCAGGGATGGTATCTGGATCTCAGACTCACTGCATGGAGGAGAATGTCTCTTTCACTAACACCCAAGGCAGCAGCTCCACATTTACAAAACAACAAACTATAAAATGAAGAATAAATAAATACTTTATTATATTAAGCCTCTGATTTGGGGGTTACACAGATTGCCTCTTCAAACATTGACAGAAAGAGACACCTTTCTGTATCTGCAGGGCAATTAAATTTATGGTAAGGCAACAGAAACAATGCTGTAATCTGAAATTAAAGCAAAACCACAAGATCACCTATGTAGGCCATTTGGTTCTCTTAGCTCAGATACAGATCATTTCTTCAACCTTTGTTAGTATTTTTAAACCTGTTTTGACCATTACCCCCTAATAAATACATTTAACATGATAGCCAAGTCTCAGATACACAGCTGAGAAGTTTCACAAAACAATACTTGCCTTTACTGCATGATGCATTCTGACCTACTTGATTCTATTTCATTGCTTTGTAATGCCAGTGGCCATCCACTAACTGGATTTCACAATTTACTAATGGGCTGAAACCCAGAGCCCAAAATCAGCATTTTTTGTGATCTTTGTAAGTGACTCCATATATGAAGAGACATGTGGCTTGAACTCACAGTTTTTGTTCTTGAGGATTCAAAAGTAAACCTGACATCACATATTTACAGAAAGGCCAAACAGATGGCAAGAATTGTGTGTGAACAAACAGGGAGCTCAAGGAGAAGCAACTGAGGCAAGGAGGGCTCAAGAAAGCACTAACAGATCAAATACTTTAAGGCAACTCAACACTTTGTACCATGTCAAATGACCAGAGTGAGTGTGGTAATAAGAGACTGCAGAAAAGGAGTTTTCCCTCATGGCTGATGGCTTAGGACATAGCCTAAAGTGTATTTCTAAGATGAGGGCTTCTTGTGGTCATGCCCATTTCCAGTTGCTTTCAGCACATTAGCATCCAGAAAGTAAATACAGATATGCCCATAGATATCACAGGAAGCCACTATCACACATGAGCCTTAAGATCACTGTCATGTCACAGGATACTCACAGCAAAGTTGCTCATCCTTACACCTGAGGTTGTATAGGGAAAACAACCACACTAGGAACTGTCAATCCTCTCAAGCTTTGTTTGTGGCAGACAGGGGCTCTGGGTGTGGCTTTTCATATTTTGTATGTGACTCTTGTAGTGCTTGACCACAGCCAAGCTGAACAGGAAGGGTTCCTAGCAGTCCTGGCTTACCTAGCATGTCTCAGTGCTGTGGCTCTTGTGATGCTCCAGAAGGTTCAAGATCCATGCAAAGGCCTCCCCACATTCACTACATGTGTAGGGCTTCCCTTGGGATGCATCAAACTCATCAGCTGCAGGACATCCCGCAGCAGAAGTTCCTGGGTCCTGCCCAGAATCATGGCCATACACATGAAGTACCTTCCCGGCATCAGATGGCACTTTGTAGCTGCTGGAGCTGGAAGGACACTCAGGTTCCTCCTCATCCTCGTCATCTGGATGAGGCCTCTTTGTCCCAGTGCCTTGATGTGGGATATCCTTGTCCTGGGCTGACTGCTGGATGACTGATTGTGTCTGGGGACTGGCAGGACTTGAATCCTCATCCTCAGCATCCAGAACCTTCTGAGGTTGCTGTTCCTCCTCCTGAGCAGTATCTATTGAAGGGCTAACAGGAACATCCCTTGAAAGCCTCTCCATCACTGTCTTCCCCATGGAGACTTCCTCGAACACATTTCCTTTGCTTTCCTGCTGCCCGGTGCTATCTGAAACAAAGTCAAAATGTGAGCAGTCCTATTTCCCAGGCTCTGAGACAGAAACTGACTTGAGTTGAAATCAAGACAATAAATAAAGTGTGAAGCCCAAAGGGCTGAGCATAGGTTAAATAGCATCGGGTAAGAACAGTGACATGCACAGCCTAACCCTCTTTACAATTCACATCACACAGCAGCTGAGTTTAGTATCACAAGCCTCACAAGACCCATTATCTGTTCTTCCCCCTCCCAATCTGCATGCCCTTCTTTAACAGTCTGAATGTCTGCTGAGCTCACTACTGAGCATTACTCCTAGGGTGTTTGGAGGTCAAGGTGGCCACGTGACCCTCTTCTGTTCAGAAATTCAAATGGTGAGGAGGAGCCTCCTTCCTGCTGTGGTGAATTAAGATCTGAAGCGCTATTCTGACTAAGGTGACTTGGCAACGGAGGGTACAAAGAACTATGAGAGGGTTCAGGGGACATGTCTGTGACCAGTAAGTACCAAATGAGTCTAGGTAAGCTGTCCAGTTATACCCATGGCCCTCAGTGAACCACCATAGTATCTGGCTTGGCCCTGAAGTCAACCATGGCCAATGGAACAGTGGCATGCACGTGTAACATGCAGAGGTGTGATATGTGCTTACCCTCTGGGATTCTCCCCATGAAACCCAGCAGCATCTGTGAGAAAGCCAAAGCCAGCCCTTTGGAGAGGTAACAAGAAAAACTGAGGTCCACAGCCTCAACTGAGCTCCATGGAGAGAGCCAGTGTCATCCAGATTGTGTGTGGGAGACCATTGGGACATCTGAGCCCTAAATAGGCCTCTGGATGGCAGTGGTTTTGTGTGTGACCTTCAGCATCACCAAAATGGAGTAGAAGGGCTAGTTGAGCTCAGTCAGTTGACAGATCATAAATGTATAGTCTTTTGGGTGACATGTTTTAGAGGAATTCATTGTGCAGCAAGAAATAATGAAATGGTATTTTGTCCCGACACAGTGGATAGAAAAATGAACACAGTCAAAGCTAGAGTCTCTGATGAGGTTAATCAAAGTGTGAGGAGCCCCATCAGCCTTAAAAGAAAGTTGTACCCTTTATGCCTCCACCAGGCCGTCCTATATCTATATCTATCTATAACTACCTAATTTGACTTCACCTGGGAGGCTGCCTCCTGGCAGTTCTTCCACCGCACAAGGTTCCTCTGGTTCCTCTGTCTCCAGCGTGGAGGATGAACCAGCCTGGAAAAACTGACACCCTGAGGTTTAGAGAGAGAAAAAGTAGAGGAAACACAAAGAAAGCTAAGAGGCTTCATGTCCTACTGGGTCTCTGGGACCCAGACTGCAACTACCTTTTTCTCTGTATTAGGACAATTCCTATCCATCTGCCCCCCCCCAGCCCCCCACCACCACCACCACCAAAGCTAACCTCTAGTCAGAGCCCCTGGAAAGCTGAAGTTTCTAACGAAGATAGCAGAGGCAAAGAAGAAGATCTTATGTGAGGCTAGAGGCTGCCTATGAGCAGGTAGGAAATGGGGAATGTACAGAGAGCAAAGTTGAACACATAGCATAAAATGGAGCTCAGTAGCAGGGCACATGCCAAGCAGTTGTAAAATCTTGGATCAATCCTCAGTACTAATAAAACTAAAATACAGAATTAGAACTAAAAAAAGGCCTCAAGAGTCTACATATGAGCCTCCCTATGAAGAACTTCAGTAAAAGATCATTCCACAGGCACAGCTCTGCACCAACAACGTGGGAATGCTAGAGTGTTGGAGCCATGAGGCCTTTCTGGATCTTAACACTCCAGTTCTCATAGGCCAAGGCTGCAAACAAAGCCCCTGAGTCCAGATAGAACTCAAAAGTATAGAACAGGACAAGTGGAAAACTTGGCAAACAAAACCTAATTCAAAAACATGTTCTGCTCCAAACAACTTGAATCAACCTTGGTATCCCAACTACAGTTCCTGGGACAGGGTCAGAATCTTCCATGCCAACAGTTCTGGAAGAAGATGCAGGGTGGAACATGAGCCAGTGGGAGGTGGGTCTTACCCCACAGGAGAAGCTTGCTGTAACTCGTCAGGTTATCCTCTCTGGGGTCCAGGTGGTCCCATTCTGACTGTAAAGGCTCCTGTGGAAATGATAATGGCTTCTCAAACAGTAGCTCTGACCCAACCCAAGTTATACTGAAGCAATGCTGTTCTTTAGGTTCTACCCTTGAGTTTCCAAAAGGGCAGCTTTCTTAGCCAAAGCATTATAGATGTATGGGTTCCTAATCCTTTGCTGTGACAGAGTATTAATACTGAGAGGAGCAACAGTCAGAAGGGAAAATCCATGTGAGTGGCCTGACGAGATCAGCCTCCCAAGGCCAGCAGTGGCTCCTTTACCCACCTTTGTCTCAGCTGTGGCAGGGTTGGCTTCTTCATTCTTTTCTCCCTCTGTATGCTCTTCATCAGGGTGCACAGATTCCAGAGTAGGCCAGGCTGGAAGAAGGGGAGCTGAGGAGACAAGTTTTCAGTGGCTGTCTATCTCCAAACTAAGCATATCCCACTGCCTCCCACATGGGCCCCAAGACAAATGTAGAAAGGCGTCCCCGTGTACATGTCACAGGTCCCAAAGCTCAGTGAACACTGCACTTGTCTGCAATTGACAGAGCAGGGTGGACACAAGAATAAAAAATAGAGACAGCCGGGTGGTGGTGGCAGCGGCGGACACCTTTAATTCCAGCACTCAGGAGATAGAAGCAGGAAGATCTCTTGAGTTTGAGGCCAGCCTGGTCTATAGAGTGAGTGCCAGAGCAACCAGGGCTACACAGAGAGACCCTGTCTTGAAGAAGAAAAAAAAAAAAAAAAAAAACAAAAAAAAAAAAACAGACATTGAAGCTCATCAGTGACCCTAGAAATGCCAATTCAGATCACAAAGGAAGGACTTTTTTTGTGCCAACTAGTTTGGTAGAAATGTTAAACAACACACAGAGCAAGTGGACACCCTCCTATGCTGGCTTTAAATGTATCACAAAGGTTTTGGATAAACACATGAATGTTAAAGTGTACATGCCCTCCATCCAGTGGTTGTTAGAAAACCATGCCTCACATGCTAGAGTGCCCACAGTAAGGCCATGCTACTGTAGCCCATTTTTAAAATGCAAAACAGAAAGGCTGAGTATATGGAATGCTGAGCATCTGAGGAGGCAAGTTTGATCACAGCTGCCCTATTTGAAGAACAAATGAGAGGGCGCAAGTACACCATGGCCCTACAGACCTTCTGTACACGTGTGATATGGAAAAAGACATGACAGGACATCCTCCAAGATGGGGTAAGGAGAAAAAAAATTTTTTTGGCAGTACTGAGGTTTTAACTCAGAGCCTCATGCTGCTAATGGGCACCCTCCTATGCTGTCATTGAATTGTATCTACAATGAAATTATTTCTTGGTTGATAACCATGTAAGGCTGACAAAATTTGCAAGACAAATTGAGCAAAAAATAAAAAATAACACATCTACCATATGCAATGACCTACAGAAACAAGTCCCAACTACAGTAGACACCCATGCCTTGCTACCTGATCTCCCCCTGGCTTTCATGCTGCCTCTACCACATCCTCCCTTCCCTAGCCACAGACCCCCTTCTATCACCTCAATGAAGGCCAGTCGAGGCTAGAGGACTGCTGCTACTTACAAGTATCACGGCGTACAAGGATGTCTCTAGGTCTTAGGTTTCTGCTGGGACTCAACAACCCACGTGGTAGCAGCAAGGGCTCAGGACACCTCTCACAGTCTCCCTCGCTGAATGAAGATGATGACCCACCCGGAGAACACAACATCATTCCTGTGTACAACCAAGGCAATAATGACTCCAATAGGCTGAGACACGTGTAACAACCATACAGCAAATCCACCACGGTGGGCCAGGTATGGACCCAAGGTATGACTCAAACAAGCCCTAGGCTTCCGGACACCATCGCAGGCCCCACCCTTAGACATGGAGGAAACCTCCAGCTACCAGTGCACCCAGAATATTTACCTAGTTTTTAAGAGCCTGGTACCTGCCTTTGATTGCCCTCCATTTCTTCTCCTTCCTAACATCTGGAAAGCAAATGTGAGGGCAGGAACCCAAGACAGCTGTCCTAGTCCATGAGGCAAGCCTGATGGAGATGCCACAGGGCAGAGAGGTGGGGGCTCAGATCCCTGGTGACTGAGGAGCTCCCTTACCAGCTCAGGGATGGTTGTTTCTGTGCCCCTTAACACATGGGGTGACTACACTCTCAGGAAAGCCACGGCTGGGGTCTGAACCCTATGTTGCAGATTCCAATCCTTCCAGGACCTCCTGCCCATCTCCTCTAAGGCATGCTTTCTTCTGGGGTGGCAGCCTCACCTGGCTCCTCCAGGATGTCAGAGAGACCCTCCACCAGGGAGGCAGCCTTCTTGCAGTTCTCAGGATACTGGGCTACCACCCAGGGACGAACCCTGTCTGGCAAGATGCCCAGGAACTGCTCCAGAACCAGCAGCTCCAGGATCTGCTCTTTGGAGCAGGCCTCGGGCCGCAGCCACTGGCGGCATAGCTCATGAAGTCTGGCCAGAGTCTGGTGAGGCCCAGCTGCCTCCTGGTAGACAAACTCCCGAAAGCGCAAGCGGGAAAACTCAAGATCAGCAGCAGATCTCTCAGTGATGGTTTCTATTTCCTTCTGTTTGCTGGATTCTTCCTGTTGGTTGGGTTGATCCTTTTGGCTAGGCTCATCCTGTTGGCTGGATTCTTCCTGCTGACTAGGTTCTTCCTGTTGGCCAGGTTCTTCCTGTTGGCTGGGTTCTTCCTGTTGGCTGGGTTCCTCCTGTTTGCTGGGCCCTACCTGCTGGATGGGCTTCTCTTGCTGAATGAATTCTTCCATTTGGATGGACTTATCCTGCTGAATAGACTCTTGCTGGATCAGTTCCTGCTGAATGGGCTCCTCCTGCTGAATGGGCTCCTCCTGCTGGTTAAGTTCCTGTTGGATGGAAGCATCCAGTTGGATGGAAACATCCTGTTGGATGGGCTCCTCCTGGTGGATAAGTTCCTGTTGGATGGAAGCATCCTGTTGGATGGGCTCCTCCTGATGGATGAATTCCTGTTGGATGGAAGCATCCTGTTGGATGGGCTCCTCCTGTTGGATGAGTTCTTCCTGTTGGATGGACTTATCCTGCTGAACGGATTCCTCCTGCTGGTTCAGTTCTTCCTGTTGGGTAGGCTTATCCTGCTGAATTGGCTCTTGCTGGATAAGTTCTTCCTGTTGGATGAGTTCCTCCTGCTGGATGAGTTCTTCCTGTTGAAGAAGTTCCTCCTGCTGGATGAGTTTTTCCTGTTGGGTTGGCTTATCCTGCTGAACTGACTCCTGGTGGATGAGTTCTTCCTGTTGGATGGGTTTGTTCTGAATGGGCTCTTCCTGCTGCATGGGCTCTTCCTGCTGCATGGGCTCCTCCTGCTGCATGGGTTCATCTTGCTGGATGGGTTCATCTTGCTGCATGGGTTCTTCCCACTGGTGAGGCTCATCCTGCTGCATAGGTTCTTCCTGCTGCATAGGTACATCCTTCTGGCCAGGTTCTTCCTCCTGACTAGGCTCATCCCGCTGACTGGGTTCTTGCTGCTCACTGAGTTCTTCCCTCTGGTTGGGAGGATTATCCTGCTGACTGGATTCCTCTCCCTGGCTGGGCTCATCCCTCTGACTAGGTTCCAGCAGCTGAATGGGTTCTTCTTCCTGGATGGGTTCATCCTGCCTCCTGGGTTCCTCCTGCTGGCTTGGTTCTTGTTGCTTAATGAGTACTTCCCTCTTATTGGGTTCTTCCTGCTGGCTGGGCTCTTCCTGTTGGGATCTATCTTCTGACTGCAAAGTAGGTGGTTCTGGGTGGGGTAGGGAGCTTCTGGGGGAGGCTAGTGCCCTCTCCAAAGGCAGCATCTTCCCAGGCCTCCACAGAAATGCAACTATATCTAGCCAAGAACTCAGCAGAGAGAGCAAGGATAATGAGGTACCCAGGAGAGGTCAGCAATACCAGGACCTGAGGAAAGACAGGGGATATCAACAAAACAAATGCCCACATAGTGAGACCTCAGCCATGGCACACTCAGGCAAAGGAGAATGAAGGAGGGTGTCTGAGCACAACCATGTACCCACAATACCCAGGTCTCATACAGAATTATTTCTAAGCAATCTGCTCGCTACTGTCAGTGGAATTCCAGCTTTTTACTTATACAAATAAAAATTAAAGTAAGAATAAGGAAGGGCAACTTTATATAAGATGGTAATAATAGGATTTTTTATCATGAATATGAATATGAAAATTTTCAGGACAATTTTCAATTATAAACCTAGATGAATATACCATACAATATCAGTAAATTCATTCTTACTAAGTATATTGTATATATGATGTAGGTCACATCACAACAGACTGGATTTATCCCCAAAATACAATGTCAGTTTAACATCTAAGTATGTATTATTAGGACTTTAGTTCTCCAAAACAAAAAGATCTAGGTGCAGCATTGTTCTTCCCATGAAAACAATTAAAACTCAGAGCTGGGGAGATGGCTCAGTAGTTAAGAGCACTTGTTGCTCTTGCAGAGGACCCAGGCTGGATTCCCAGCACCTACATGGTGGCTCACAACCATCTGTAATCATAGTTCTGGGGCACCTGATGCCTTCTTCTGACCTCTGAGGACACCAGGCATGCACGTGCCACAGACATGAAGGCAAAACACTGCCATACATAAAGTAAAGAAACCTAAAAAAAAAAAAAAAAAACAAAACCAAGCACACACAAAGAAAGCATTTTTTCTTCTACAAACAATTTTGAGGGTTTCAAAATAAAATCTGTCCATGACCATAGCTAACACCATCAACAACATGACCACTGTCTCCCTACCTAATCCAGCTTACCCTACAAGCACCATTCTCACTTCTTACAGGCCTGGATTCTGAAGTGGTTTCTCAAGGTCCATATGCCCTGCATGTCCTTTCACACACACACACTTGACCATACTATTTCACACTACTTTATATCGGCATGCTGTCTATCTCCCACACTGAAACCTGAGCTAGAAGAGCAGGCTTATTTATGCACAGGCCACTATGGGCCCAGCAGTTTGGGCTTATGTATTTGTTCACTATGCCTTTTATAAAATGTATTTCTTTGTTGAAGGGTATGTTATATATGCCTAATGGCCAATAAGAATCTCATACCCATCTATCTGGGATCAAGTTTAGGACCTATTTGAAGGATAAATGGAGAAAAAGAATGCCCCAGCTACAGGGACAACCTCACCCCTACCACCTACAATGGCAGCACCCATTCCTTTATCTACACTGGGGATACTAAGATCACAACACCCACCCAATACAGCTTAGCATTTTCTTATAACTTCTTTATCTCTGAGAGTGGGTAAACTGCCTGCTTTCCTTACAGGTGTCAGGTAAGAGCTCTGTCTGGCTCCATCTTGTCATCATCCGTCCCTACCTGCATTTTCTTGTCACTTCATCCTGCCATTTTTTAAAAATCCTGTGTTTCAACCACTTAATATTCTAATGATTCTTCTTGTCAAGTTCAACTACTTTAAAAAATAAATTTCTGGTTTTAAAAACCTGCTAAACTTTGGGTTTCCTCCCTACCTCAAATTTAAAAACATTCTCTTAGAACAAAGGTAGCTAATGTAAGGCCTTGGATAAAAGTGTAAGTCCTTGAGGTTGTCTTGATGGTGACTATTCACCTCTGTACCTTTAAAAGAATACAAAAGTGCACACAAGGGATCATTATTAAAATAGTTGCTTTCTGTGACCCCTGCCAAGAATATATTTTATATTTTCATATAAGGTCACACAGAGTCAAACAGATGTCCTAAATAAACTGGCCTGGGTTTTTTTAAAAAGCCTCAAGATCACAGACCCAAACATCAGGAGAAACGGCTCACTGAAATATGGGGCCCTGTTCAGGCTCTAGAGCAGCAAAGGGAACTTCCATAGGACATTATTGGAATGTGGAAGGATGACCTTGTAGCATCCAATGTGACCTCCAAAAAGCTGGCTGAGATACAAACCAACATAAGACAGGTCTAAGAGGAGAGGATTGGGCATGGAGGCAGTGGTGGAATACGAAGCAAGAGGCGCCTGGCGGTGGTGGCGCACGCCTTTAATCCCAGCACTTGGGAGGCAGAGGCAGGTGGATCTCTGTGAGTTTGAGGCCAGACTGGTCTACAGAGGGAGTTCCAGGACAGCCAACCAGGACGGTTACAAAGAGAAACCTTGTCGCAAGAGGCAAGGAAAGGGACAAAACACTAACAAGTAGACTCTGGACACAGGATAGGAAGGACTTCTATGACCTTAGAATTGTTCTATGTAAAAGCCAACCCTCAGCACCCTTTACCTGTCCCTTCATAGGTAACACTAGGAAAACTAATCTTTTCTATTCCTCCTCAAACCCTCCAGGTCAGGACAGCACCTAAGAGACACCCCTCTGTCGTAAATGGAGCTCCTGGACAGAGGCCCCGAAGTGTCCTCTGCCCCCTTAACAGAGAGGATCCCTGCACTCTAAAGCCCGTTGTTGCCCCTCAGTCTAGTGGATTCTCTCCCGGAACCGCCCCCCCCCCCAACTTTCCCGTACTCCTCCCGCCCGATGTACCTACAGACACCTTCAATCCTGCCTCTCCAGGACAAAACAGGGATCCCCAAGCCCTCCCCTGGCCTTTATACATACTCATCTTTCATCTTTCCCTCCATGGACTTCCCATCCCTGCCAGAACCTGCACGTAGTGGCCTCCACCCACACTCGCGTCTCTTCCTCTGCTGCAGTCTCCCACCTTGAAGGGTCCCGTGGACTCTACCCTAATCTACATCTAAGCAGCTGTGGCACTGCGCCCTCTGTCCACCGCACATGTAAAAACCACACCCCTAACCCTAGCCCAGCCCACGTGTCCCCCAGATAGCCCTTCCCAACACAACACAAGCGAACTGCATTTCCGAGCCACAATCCCACAAGTGGCACTCCCACGCACACATTAGAACCACACCCCCGATCCTGCCGCACACCATGCCCGCCCCACACTCTGCACCTCGCGTCGCTAAGTTCGCCTACAGCGTTCCAGAGCCACACCCCCAACCCAAAAGACTTAAAGCCTACTTCACATTTCCACACGTGGGAACCATCAGTCCTAACCTCTCCGCCCCAAAATCAAGCACCAGTGCCCGAGGCCACATCCCCATGCAAGTGCCTTGGCGCTTCAATCCCCTCCAGGGCACAGCACCTGGGGCCACACTCCCAAGGTGGGACCCAAGGTCTCTGCTCCCGGCCCAGCCCAACAAGGCAGGCCCATTCCTCCGCCGGACCCTCTACACTAGCCGAACGCCTACCGCCCCACGACCAAGAGCGCCGGGCGGCCCGACCCACCTGCTGCGCAGCGAAGCCCCACGGGCTCGCGCAGTCTCGAACACGGAGAGGTGATGGCGGCCCACCGCAGTACGCGTGCGCGGCCTGCAGCGCCGGAACCCGCGACCCCCAGCACGCCGCGGGGCGGTTCGCCAGACCTGGGCGGGGCCGAGCTGCTCCGACAGCGTCGCCAGTCTATCAGAGGGAAGGCTGGCTCCGCTTCGCTGCCACGTGCGCCTGCGTCACTTCCGATGCCATGACAACGGAGTAAACAAACGGAAACCTGAAAGAAAAAAAAAGTCTAGGACCACCAGAACCTGAGAGGCGGAGACGAAGACCGGAAAATACCAGCTTAAGAAACAAATACACGGCACCATGAGACCCAAAGACACTGGAGACGGAGTCCAGAAATCCAGAGATGAGACACAGAGACACTGAAATGAGACCTACAGACACAAAAGTGGGGACCCAGCACAAATTGGGGACTCGAGATCCTGCGCAGTCAAAAGACAAGTAGCACCCCAGTATGGGCAAACAAGAGTTAAATACCCACTGTAGGAGAAACATTCTTGAGGCAGGGATTCAGGGATGGAGCGAAGGCACTGAGATCAGAGCCGCTGACTGGGTGAAAACAGTTCAAGTTCCAGAGAGCAAACTGATTTCAAACACCTTGTCAAATCCTTGCTATCGCTACACTGAGCAACCAAAGAAGTTGGGGCTAGACTCCTGCAGAGATGGGAAGGAAGCTGCTTTCCACAGCAGAGCTTCTGAATGTCATTTTGGTTGTCTGGGATGGTTTTTGATATGTGTAGCTGAACAACTTAGCACTGAATAGATTTCATTTCTTTTTCCATTCTGACAATTTTAAGTTATATCACAATCAGAATGGTTCGCTCCTCCATTTTAACAATCACACCCTCCATCATCTACGACCCCTGATGTGCGGTCCCTCAGTACAGATTTGTCCCTACAGATTTCATATAAATGTAAACCTATAGTGCATGGCCATTTGACAAACTTTCACTGTTCGTAATTCCTTTGAGATCCATTAATATGTGTAAATAGTTTGTTCTTCGTTATTGTTTAGAATTCAATAATATACAAGTTTAAACATTCACCAGTTGGGCTTTAGGCTTGCCTCCAAACTTTTGATATTTAAAAAGTGCTATGAAAATTCATGTTCAGGTTTTTGTGTGAACATTACTCACTTTTGAAAGAAGATAGATGCCCATGATGCAGTTGCTCTGCCTAAAGTAAGCATATGCTTAATGTTAAAAACTAAACAAACCAATGAAATCTGCCATACCCTTTTCTAGAGCTGTGCCATTTTACACTCCCACCACCAGCGTATGTATGAATCCATTTTCCCGCAATCTTGCCGGTTTTTGTTGGTTGTCAGTCTTAGCTAGCTTTTCTGAGTATGATGATATTGTGGTTTAGTTTCTTTCCATTTCCCGAATGGCCAATATGGTTGAGCATATTTTCAGGGTTATTTGCCATCCATATATCCTCTTAAGTATCTGTTCATGTGTCTCACCAATTTTCTAGTTTTTAAATGAATGTTGAGTTTCAAAAGATCTTTATATATTTTTACCTATAAACTGTCTTATAAGAGTTTGCAAACCCTTTCTCCCAGTATATTGCTTCTTATGTCCTTACCACGCCCTTACCAAAGGATTTTAAATTAGATATGTGATTCATGAATATATCCTTTTATGGACCATGTTCTTAGTATCAAGTTTAACAACTTTATGCTGAGTCCTAAGCCTTGAATGTTTGCTCCTATATTTTTCCTGAATGTTTTATAGTTTTACCTGTTCTATTTAAGTCATCATCAACTTTGAGTTATTTTTGTACATTGTGAAATTTATATGAAGTTCATCCCCACCCCCCAACCATGACTACTCACCTTCCCACCACCAACCATCTCTCCAAAGCTAACTAGGTATCCATATTCCTATCCAGTTCTGACACTACTCGGAACTAATGAAGTTAAAGAAACCATAGTTTGGTTCCACCTTAAACACCAACACTCACACTTTGCCAGGCTATGTCCCCATCCCTCAATTTGCTAGAGTAGTTCACAGAACACAGAAACACACTTTGCCTCTGATAACTGGTTTACTGTGAAGAATAAAAAGTCAGGCACAGCCCAACGAAATCAATATGGTGGGCAAGGTAAGAATGGGAGAGAGAAAGATGGCGGACCACCCCACCAGCACACACACACT